GAGTTTTATCCCCCTGAGCTAAACAGTTGTACCCACATTCAGTTACACACACACAAACACACACACACACACACACACAAACACACACACCCCTAACTAGAAGTACTCAAACAGGATGAAATCTGGAAAAGTGGCCAAAACTTCTCTCTATGGCAACATTGATAATATTCTTGATTATTGCTAAGAAAATATTCTTACATCAGAAGGAAAGTGAAAACTAATCAAAAGTCAGCAAAAGAAACCTTCACTTAACTATTGTGTGCCCTACTTTTGGAGAAAAATATAAAATCTTTAGAAAACAAGTAGAAAAATGGGGTTTTATGATGGTTAAGGCCCAGGTTACTCATCCTGATTCCTAAACCTACATCTCTAGCCCACTGCCCTAGGAGTACAAAAGGAGCCTTTTGATGACTTTCACCTACTAGGACAAACAGACAGATGTAGTTTAGGCAAAATAGCATCAAGAATTAAAACTAAGAAGGGTTTTGCTTATGACAAATTAAAAGAACAAAGTTTCCCATTTCCCAAATGTTCTAGGTAATCAAGGTTTTTCTCTACAGAACTTTAGGAGGCTTTTAAAACACTTCTCAGAAGAAAATGCAAAATCACTCACCACAAAAAAGAACCTGCACCTTCCCATTAGTTTTAAATGGGTTTTTAAGGACTAGACCCAGTCTTTATTCTAAATTCCAGATCAAATTCTTCTACGAGAAACACTATGATGACAAAACGTTTCTTTCCCACCTCTAGTCCTGGCTCTATTTGGTCCTAACATGGTTTTATTTTAACAGCAGCACTACCTGAGCAAGGATTATGCTGGGAAGCTTTTGTGATGTAGGCCCAGGGAAGAGGAGGTTCAGGTAAACTGCAGGGGCAAGTTTCAGACGCATGAGGTGCTCACAGGTGTACATCGGATGGCGGGAGAGCCACATGTGGTTCAGGGTTAAGGAAAGCTATTTTGACCCAAAACAGGAGAAGAAAACTGAAGCCCAGACAGAAGGACCTCGGTCTTCATGGAAGAGAGAAACTGAGATGTGAAGTTGGCCCCTGAAGCCAACAGACCCTGTTGAAAAGAACACAGGCCCTGCTCCTTCCTCGCAGAGCTCACCGTCTAAGGGAACAGACCATCAAGGTGATAAGCACCGTGCACCTGAACAAAGAACTACAGGCCTTGGAGGGTTGGGAGTGGATCCGTCTCATAGTGCGGAGCAGGCCAGGTTTCATACTGAGGGTGACACAGGAGTGGGGACTTGAAGGGTTTTTTCTAGATAAAGAAGTGTTGGGGAATAGCTTGAGCAAAGTTAAAGGATTGTAGTGGATTGCATGGTGTCTCCCCCAAAGTATACCCACATCCTAACCCCGGGAACCTGGGAATGTGGCCAGATTTGGATAAGATGTAATTGAATTGAGGATTTCCAGATGAGATCACCCTGGGTAATCTGGGTGGGTCCTAAATCCAGTGACAAGTGTCACACAGAGGAGAGACACACAGAGGGAAGGGGAGAAGTCCAGGTGGGGACAGAGGCAGAGACTGGAGTTATGAGCCACAACCAAGGGACACCTGGGGCCACCAGAAGCTGGAAGAGGCAAGGAAGAACTCTCTTCAAGAGCCTTTGAATGGAGTATAGGCTTGCTGACACTTTGATCTTGAACTATTAGCCTCCAGAACTGCCAGAGAATAAATTTCTGTTGTTTTAGGCCACCAGGTTGTGGTATAAATCCCTCGGTATACATGTGGGACCCCCTGTGGATACCAAAATCCACAGATGCTCAAGTCTTTTATGTAAACTGGTGTAGAATTTACATATAATCTACTCACATTCTTCCATGTACTTTAAATCATCTTTAGATTACTTATAATATCTAATACAATGTAGATAGTAAAAGAATAGTTGCCCCTGCACAGCTAATTCAACTTTTGCTTTTTGGTACTTTTTGGAATTTTTTTTTTTGAATATTTTCGATCCTGGGTTGGTTGAATCATTGACTGTGGAACTCGCTGATAGCAGACACAGAGGGCTGACTGTAATTCGTTGCAGCAGCCACAGGAAACTAATACAGAGCTGGGAAAGAATGCCAGTCCTGGGCCTGGTTGCCCCAAGGTCCTCACCCTTTTCCTGCTCCTCTCTCTACAGCAGGGGCTGCCCCTGTAGGCTGTGTTTCCCAGATCCCTGTGGTTTCCAGCCGGGCTCCGCCAAGAGGAAGCTCTTGGCAGTGACCCGGGCTGGGAGGAAGGGAGCAGCAGGACGCTTCTTCCCTTCTGTCTCAGCCTCAATTAGCACCCGCAGCAGCAGCCCTGTCTCCTCCTGGCTCCCACTCCCACTAAAGAGGATAAGGTTCCCTGGTGGTTCCAGGTTCCCTGGGTGATCCCAGCCCCTGTTCTAACTAAAAGTCACAATAGTTTCTATAAAACACTCCAGTATGACTAAAGCACAGGGCATACAAGGGGGAGGGGAGAGAGAAAAGCCAGGGCAGTAGGCTGATGCCTGGTTGGGAGAGGGTATCGCACGTACAGTAAGAGCCATCAGGGCACCAGCAGCAGGGCTTTGGGCCTCCTCTAATGAAGCAAAACCTCAACAGAAGTCACAAGCTCTCATCTCTGACTTGACATCCACTGGTACCCAGCTTAGTCACCATGACTGTTCTGGACATTTCCTGGCAGGGGACTGTATGAGTTTGTTGGGGCTGCCATAACAAAGCACCACAGACACAGGTATTTATTTTCTCACAGTTCTGGAGGCTAGAAGTCCAAGATCAAGAAATTGGCAGGGTCGATTTCTTCTGAGGCCTCTCTCGATGGCTGTCATCTCCCTGTGTCTTCATGTCGTCTTCCCTCTGTACTTTTCTGTGTCCAAATTATCTCTTATTATAAGGGTGCCAGTCATATTGAATAAAGGTCTACCCCAATGACCTCATTTTAACTTAATTACCTCTTTAAAGATCTTATCTTTAAATTCTGAGGTGCCAGGGCTAGGACTTCAACATATGAATTGGGGTGGGGGGGGGACACAGGGCAGCCCATGACAGGGATTAAGCATGCGCGGCAGACTGAAAGATAGTGAGAATCATGGGAGTCCGATGTAGCCAGCAGGTGTTCAGTAAAAAACAAAGGCACCAGCTGGACTCAGGGGTACCTGGTAGAAATCATAAAGTGCTGGACAGTAGCCTGTCCAGCAGAAGAGGCCAAAGCAGGGTAAAAGGAAGTAAGAGAAGATGCCTTGTGGGAGTGGACCAGATAGACAGCTGGACTAGCTTCTGAGAGCGTGTAAGAAACTCACCAAGGGCTTTGGGCCTCCTGTAATGAAGCAAAACCTCAACAGAAGTCACAAGCTCTCATCTCTGACTTGACATCCACTGGTACCCAGCTTAGTCACCACAACTGCTCTGGACATTTCCTGGCAGGGGACTGTATGAGTTTGTTGGGGCTGCCATAACAAAGCATAACAGAGCTGAGGGTCTAGTGGCTGATAAGGACTAAAGTTGGCAAAGAAAAGGCTGACATTATTAATGTGATTCTGTTTGTACCTATAGGTTGGTAAAAATCTATATGGTAGAAATCTGCATTTTGGATGGAATTAAGTTCTTCCTACAGCCCCACCATCCCTACCACAACACAAACATACACAGATGGTGTCTGGTCTCCTTACATAGCATCCCTGTAGAGATAAAAACAAGAAACTAGGGCCTGCAAACAGTGATTGCAAGGAAAGGGAAAATCAGACAGAGGCAGCGGGAACTTGACTGGGGTTTGGTTCAATCGAAATGGCTCTGTTTGTGTGTTGGCCACATGCAGACATGCTGCAGCTCTAGGACCATAAGCTTATGTCCAAGGGAGCCATATACACGTGCTTTTGCAGATGAGACGCAATTTATTAATATGAGACTCTGCGGGGTGCAGAGCAATAAATTGTAATTCGTGAAATTTATAAACTGAGATAGTGCTAGTGAGGGTCCTGTGAATTGTAATTCTCTCGACCTGACAAATGAACTGCTCTGGGCAGCGACAGCTTCAGCAGGGTGAGAGAAATAAATCAGCCGGCTGAACTGCGGTAAGAAAGCAAACAGTTTTATTGGTCTACGGATCTTGAGAAATGTTGATTAAGTCAGATCTGGAATCCCCCACAGTTGTTTTACAAGCTGCTTTATCCTGGAGACCCCCCAGGCCTTCCCATATTACCACAATCTCCCAGGAAAAATGGGAAGTGACTTATGCTGTGTTTGGGGTAGGAAACAAAAATATATACTTTTATGGTCCTGGGAAAAGGTAAGTTTGACCATTCAAGGAGGCTTTTGTGTTCTCAAGGTACATATTAGAGAAAAACTTTATGGGAGGTTTTCCACAACATTGATAACCTCTCAGTCTCCAGAGAGCTGAGAACAGAAAATACCTTCAGGAACTTATGACTTGAGAGTAGATTTAGAATAAGTAGGACTCATCAGAGGTAAGCTTTTGAACTCACAAAGTATGGATTTACTCAGCCAGAGTAGAAAAAAGAATGCTGTGGGCACATTTAAACCGCAGACACTAGAGCAAACTGCTTTTAATTATATTTGTGTCCTAAGAGAACCCACTTGCTATCAAATAACTAACATGCTAATGACACTCTGGTCTGTTCATGAAGCAGGACCCTGCAGACTCCATTGAGAACATGGTTTGGTTTCAGCAAATGGTCACATTTATTCTGAACTGTAGCCTTCAAATTCAAAATGTCATGTATTCAAGACTTGTCTTCCCTTAGTTGATCCGAATTACCAGAGGGGAACTATCTAATGCAGAGATTTATTTGCAAGAAATGGCAGGAGAGAAGTAGTAACTCCGGAGAAGGGAAGGGTGGGAAAACTGACATTGGTTAGCCATCCCCGTGTCAGGTGGTATGCTCAGTTCAGGGTCTCACTACCTTTGAGGAGTGACAATCATCTCCTCTCAGCAAGAAGTTTGAGACTCAGAGAGGTCCATTAACTGGCCAAAGTCACAAGGCAGCAATTTAAAAAGGCATTAACTAACTGACAACTAAGTTCATGCCCTTTCCTTTCAAAACTAAGAGCCCTTGAATCTTCCAATCGAAAGAGTTCCCTCCATGTCACCCAGCCTCTCTCCGCCTGCAGAAGCAGACCTAACTGGGTCCCAGACCTACATCACTGCCTCCCTTCTTTTTTTTTTAACCATTTTTTAAAACTGAAGTATACTCAGTTACAATGTGTCAATTTCTGATGTACAGCATGCTGTACTCCCTTATTCTTAACCATCTCTGCAGAAGCAACAACCACCTTCTCCCTCAGGCCAGAGGGACAGGAAACCCAGTCTGTCCAGCCCACTGGACAGGGCTGCCATGCTTGGACAGAGAGAGGAGGCATTACAGGCAGTCCCCCTCATACCCCAAGGAAGCAGAGACCGAGGGGCTCTGGGAGTCTCCAGTTTCAGGAGCTGTCTGCCCTGAGAGTGAGAAAAGCAGGTCACAGTGGTGCTGTGGGGCAGATCCCAACAATTTGTTGCAGCCACAGGAAACTTCCGAAATGTCTTTCACAGAAGCTCTGGCTCCACCAGGAGCAGCTGCATGTTTGTGGGGCTGCAGGGCACCGGCCGCCCTCGGTGCTCCCCGGCTCCCCAGGGTCGGGCATATAATCAGCCACGGCAATGAAATCTGACTTCAAAAGCACAGATCCTGGGGATGTCCACTCCCAGAACACACATTTTCTACCTAATGCTGTGCAGTGTCCAGGCTGCCCACCACCTAACGGAGAGGCCTGCTTCAGGCATTGTTGCTCTGATGTGAAGATCCATCTCTGACTCTCCCACTGGCTCTCCCTGCCACTCCTGGATTATGGCCCTGGGCGCCTTCATGGGTACTTTCTAACCATCCCCGCTGGCTCGTTCCCAACCACTTTACCCATCATATTACCTCCCAACTGCAAAATCTTTCTTGCTTCCTCTTAGCCTAGAATAATACTCAAAGGAAGATAGAAATCTCCTGGGGTTTGTGTTCAAATGCAGATTATGTTCCTAGGTCTGAGGTGGGCCCTGGGATTCTGCATGTCTAACAGGCTCTCGGGTGACAAGTATGCTGCTGGTCCTTGGAACACATTTTGAGTGGCAAAGACCATAGGCTATGTCCCAGATTCCTAAGGCTGGAGTTGAAAAGTCGGCTGCCCTCCCACTAGACTACCTTTCTAACCTCCTTTATCTCCTCCCCACCCTCTCCTCCTCCACCCCTTCCTTCCATCCTGCTCTGCTCCAAGCATCCAGCCCTCAGGGGCACCCAGCTCACCCACAGAGGGTATGTGCCTGCTGTTTCCCTTGCCAGCAATGCTTGCATCCTTCTCTTTGCTTTTCAAATCTTTCTTCCTGGCAAGTCCTAGCCTTCCCATAAAGACCATTGTCTTCCTAACAGGAAGAGCTGCATTCCAGAGTTGTGGCACACAAGAGAGTAAGGACTGCTTTCTCAGGAAGTGTCAAACCCAGAGATTCTTTGAGGGAGAGAGATCTGGACCACCTCCCCCCAAATGGAGTATGTCCAGAAAACTGTTCCGGCTGGCCCATCCCTCATCCAACTAGAAGTCCCGCTCCAAGGTGGTCATCTGGGAAGCAGCAAAGTTTAGCTATGCTAGACCATTTAGGGACCAGAGTACCTCACACAGTGAATACCCGTGTCTGAGAGAACTTGGCTGACACAGTCAGAGTTGAAATTTCCTGCTTCACATTGGTGAAGCCAAATACCCCATGAAACTCATGAAAAGTGGGTTAGGTACTTTCTAAAAAAATACTTTACACAGTCTGATGTTAAACTGGAAAATGACTAAAGAATACAAACTCTTAACCATCCTTTGTTTTAATTTAAATATTCAAAAGCTCCCACCCTAACAAAGCCCCCCAAGAAAGGCTATCTGAGGTCCTCCTTAATTTTCCTTTCTCACTTCCAAACAGTGAAACTACAGCCAAGATTTTCTGGTTATGGAACCTCTTCTGATCCTGATATCTCACTGGCTGTGGAAATTATTGAGAACTGGAATGAAAATTTCCATCTTATCTGCTCTCTGTTATTTTGCAGGGGAGGGTGTGGCGTTATCAGTTTGCAGTGGGGTGTAGGGAGGTCTAGCCCAGCAGAGACTGGTGCGCTCTCTCTTCCCCAGATTTGCTGTCAGTTGTTTTGAGGGAAATGGGTAACCGGATCTTAGAATCCCTGGATGTGACGAGATAACATTGACTATAGGCAATTCTATTTACTGATAAAAATAATATATAGTTTTCAAATAGTCCCATAATGAGTCACTTCTAAATAGTCAGAAATACATTTCCTGCAATTCTTCTTTGAGATATGAATTAACAGTTTAATAAAATTACTCCCCTCACTAAGGTAGTCCTATTGAATGCACATAGAATTAGCAACATGCTCTTAAACTTGCCACAACCTAGACTTTGGTGACCCAGCCGATACGAATCAAAGTTCAGAGCATATTCACTCATAAGAAATGTATTCTGCTCCTAGCTTGACTTCCTGAAAGTAGCAAAGAATAGCAATAGCGTAAGAGCAAGAGTTAGACAAAATCTATCGGCAAGTTTCCAGAATGTCAGACCACTGCAAAAGGCAAACATCCCAAGTCACTGATGGATGTAGCCAAAGCCTAATCTAAACATCATGAGCCAAAGAAACAGTGGCGTCTCGAAGAAAAAGCCAAGAGACTCAAATGGACACCGTTCAGCCACTCAGTTCTGTAACTTTGGGCAAGTCTTTTAAACCATTGGAACCTCAGTTTCTTTATCTGGAAAGTGGGATTAATGACTGTTCCATTTACCATGCAGAGTGGCTGTGACAGTCAAATCAGATCATCCCCAGAGCAAGCACCCTCTAAATTTACAAAGAGATTAATGCCGAGTCATCAGTATCTTCTGCTACAAAAAAGCTCTCTTCTGCTGCTGCTGCCCTCCCAGAACTTCCTCCTACTCTGGTTACTTTGCCCAGGTAGATGTGGGAGGAAGGGAAGCAGTATGTATTTCAGAAGGACTAGAATTTTATCCAGTCTCACATGTGATTCTCTAAATCTCTTTCCTGCATTTTTCTCACTAAGTCCCCAAATTCTCTAATCCTATCTCCTTACCTATCTCAGTAACAGAACTGGTTAATTCTAATTAACCTAGATAAGCTATCTTTCCTCAACCTTCAGAAAGCAGAGGTCATCCTTACATTTCTAAAGGCTCTCTGCATGGAGATTACTGGTTATCTTCTCCAAAAGCCAGAGAAGGAGACAGTCTAATTAGAGAAGGGGACTGGAAAAGAATTCTAGTGCCTCCTCCAGGGACTGGAAGGGGAGATACCTGTGTTCCTAGGTATAGAGGTTCTACCTCTCTGAAAGCAGTCTGGGGAGGCGGCAGGGCCTCAGGGACATACAGCCATAGCAGAGCTTTGCCAAGAGGTGGTAAAGCCATCAGCCTCCAAGGACAAGGAGGACCTGGCAAATGAACACATCAGCGGTCAGCCACGTGGACCGGAGACCAGAGGGCTCCACCTGAATGCTCTGGGCGGATGTTCAGAGGAACTGGGAGAAAGGGGGCCGTTCCAGGAAGGTCTGAGGCTGACTTTCCCACCACCGTGGCAGGATGGCTACAATAGCATATCAAATTTAATTTAACTTAGTAAAAGAAATGTGACATTTCTGATGCCTGATCATGTGGCATAGAATTCACATGCCTGTTGTTCTTTCTGGGACATTCTGGCAGATAACTCTGCTTTCTTTGGATGCTCCAGAGTTTGGGGGAAACAGTTCTAAAGATCAGCATAAGCTCTTTCTGAAGTTACCTTCCGCTCCTACCCCCAGTGAGAATTTACCCAGGGAAATACCAACCCAGCAAGTATTTCCTTCATAACCTGAAACTCAAGCCCTGACTGGCCTACATCCCCTTCACTCACAACTACTTCTCAGCCAATCTTTAATGGAAAAGAATGTTTTCTCTTTCTTACATCCAAAGAGTTACACATAACAAACACATCATGAAGTATCTACAAAACATCACAGCCAGCAAGCACCGTCCATGACTCCGAGGTGAGAACGATTGTTGAACTGCTCTGCTAACAAGGAAACACAACTTTGGAAATAGAGTTGTTATTGTCCTTATTTGACCTTGAGGAAACTAAGACCCAGAGGTGTTAACTAATTTGCTGAAGATCTCAAGCTTTTTAGTGGCAAACCTAGGATTAGAAACCCATCTCTGCATGCATTCTATTCTATTGGGCTAAACCTCAATAACCTGGTGTTCTTCAGCAATATGCTTCTCTCTCTTCCTTTCCCTCTCTCTCTCTCTCTCTCTCTCTGTGTGTGTGTGTGTGTGTGTGTGTGTGTGTGTGTGAGATGAGGGCTCAGCTGCTACATGTAGAATACAGCATAGATTTTAAAATATAACCATTGCCATGTTTGTTTAACTCTGGAAGGAGAGACTCTGAGTACCAGTAGGTGTCTGTTGAGCTTTGGCTGAAATGTGTCCATTGCTGATTTAATGTGATAATCAGGGGCGGGGGCCCTGGTGACAGACTATGATGCATTGGCTGTTGTTCTGTGCTTTGATGTTCCTTGGAATTTGTCAAAATTTCACTTCAGCACTCCAAAAAGCGCCATGGCGTCATCTGTCCCACTCTCCGACTGCAGGAGCAAATGGCAGGGGAGTGGTTGCCACTGGAGTTAAGGTCAACACCGGGTCAGAAAGCAGCAGACCTTTCCTGAGGATGGCGGTGGCAGCCGCTCCCCACATCACACCCAGAGGACTCCTGTCTCTGGGGGATAAACATCTTTGCTGTCTCTGACTGAAGGGGGCCTGCAGATCCCTCCTGTCTCAGCTCAGTCACGGGGTTCCTGGAGACAGGAATCATTTTCCACACCCTAAGTCATGGGCATCGAGCTGCCGGCAAGGAAGAAGGGCACGGAACACAGAGGGCATGCTGGCTGGGGTCACTGCCACCAGAACGCTCCCTCTCGGTCAGGCAGTGCCCAGGCTCAGGAATCGGACCCTGCCAGGCCTTCAGGCCACTGTGGTCACGGCACAGCCAGCGGCAGGCAGGAGGGCGTGCTGGTGCTCAGGCTCCCCTCAGCCAGATGAGTCACCCCAGGGTCTCGCCAGCTGGACAGCGATGCCTATTTCCCAAGGCTGGTCTGGGCGGCATAAAGATTTTGGAACACTGCTGGCATCCAGCACTGGGGATCTGTAGAGCCTTCTTGGGAGCAGCTGGTATGAAGGGTCACCCTGGCCTAGAGGTGAGGAATGGCAAGGTTAGGTTGCCCCAACTCTCCCAGTGGAGAAGGAGAGAGTAGTCTGCCTAGAAAACCCCTATTGGATTTTTCTGTTGGGTTGCTTCTTGTTGGCCTCTTGAGGGGATGGAATCTGTCCGATGGAGTTTCAGAGGTTCCTATTCCTGTGATGCTCGGATCATTGTTCTAATCATCCCACCCAGGATGGTATAATCTCTGTTGAGAAGCCAACCTCCAAGAGGATCAAGAAAAGCCATATAACTCTTAATTTTATTTTTAGCTCTCCAAACCTTAGTCTCTCAATCTGTACTATGAGATTTGTCATGTCCTAGCCTGGGGAGTTCTTCGAGAGCTAAATGTAATTATGTATATAAAAGTATTTAAGTACAGTGCCTGGCACAGAGTAGGG